ATATCGGTGGTCACAAATATTAAGCATTGCTCATTTTCTTATTGGAGCGCTTGAATCAGTACACCGAATGCTCGCCCACCCGTCTTAGCTGATAAAACTTTAATGATTACATAACACTGTTTAATAAACTGTATTTAGTTTATTTCGAAATGAGTTCCGTTATGCTATTACAGTTAATACTAATAAATGTAATCAAAGGTTAAGGTTCTCCTCGTTCAAGGGTCAAACCCAACAAATCCGTCGCCCGGCACCAAAATGGAACGATTTAACTCAGACTTTGTTGACGAAAAACAGATTGTATTTTCTGACGGGAGCTTCAAGATTTTATCTGCTCGCGAGACCACAAAACTAATACAACCTCATTGAGATTTGCTGAAACAGAACCACATCAAACAATTTTTGTTGACATTAAAAAAAAACCGTTGTTCGGAAAACCGTGTATAGCAAATAATACACTCAAAAATTATAAATATGAAATTGTCGTTTCTCTTGAAAGGTGCTAGCGTAATCACTTTATTTCAACCAGTCTTAGCCATGAAATGTTTACTAAATTTAGCCTTAATGTATACGTCCAGTATTATTATTTATTAAAGAAACAAATTCGGCCTAGTAATCTCTCTCTATGTAATAAGAATAAGAAGACAATTAGAAAATCTCCTTGCAATTCTAATATACGAGGAAACTAGGGGTCTTAATGCAATTATCGTTAGGCATTTTATGGTTGTTCTAATGTCTTGGGGGAGTGATTTGAGAAAAGATTTTATTACCGATCCAAGTCTACACAAGAGTCGTAAATACCTACATTGTACTCACGACGGTGACCCGATTCCATTCTTTGCGATAAAACACGTTAAAACAGTCCGTGCGATTTACTTAGCGCCTTCTAATTTTCAACTCTCCCAGAATACGTTGCGATCCGAATCTTTTGTTACATTTCGAACTAGTATCGAAATAAACGGTGAGTTTAAATATTTTCTTTGTGTCGTGCTGAGAGACAGACTTCATTCTGACATATTATTAGTTGCGTTCAGTCTTCAAAATTTACAGTTTTTTATTTATTTATAGCTTAGATGGATTGATGAGTTCACGGCCCACCTGGTTTAAGTGGTTACAGAAGCCCATCTACAACGTAAATGCGCCGTGCGGACTCACAAGAAGTCCTACCACCAGTAATTACGCAAATTATAATTTGGCGGATTTGATTTTTATTACACGATGTTATTCCTTCATCGTGGAAGTCAATTGTGATTTTTTTTTATTGCTTAGATGAGTGGACGAGCTCACAGCCCACCTGGTATTAAGTGGTTACTGGAGCCCATGGACATCCACAACGTAAATGCGCCACCCACCTTGAGATATAAGTCCTAAGGTCTCAAGTATAGTTACAACGGCTGTCCCACCCTTCGAACCGAAACGCATTACTGCTTCACGGCAGAAATAGGCAGGGTGGTGGTACCCACCCGAGCGAACTCACAAGAGGTCCTACCACCAGTAATTACGCAAATTATAATTTAGCGGGTTTCATTTTTATTACACGATGTTATTCCTTCACCGTGGAAGTCAATCGTGAACGTTTGAGTACGTATTTCATTAGAAAAATTTATACCCTCCTGAGATTTGAACACCGGTGCATCGCCCAACACGAATGCACAGGACGTCTTATCCGTTAGGTCACGACGACTTCATAAGCTCTAAGTACGTATTTCATTTTAAAAATTAGTACCCGCCTGCGGGAACAGCGTTGCATCGCTCGATACGAATGCACCGGACGCCTTATCCTTTAAGCCACGACGACTTCGAAATAGTGCATTGTGCATCTGAAATCGAATTCTTTCCCGTGTAATAATCTATATTCTGAGGCAGCGAAGAGACCACATATTTCAAACTATTTCTACGCTTCTCCATAAATCAAGTTTGTTGAGAAAAATCGTTATAGTATATTTTTACTTAAAAATTCTACTAGCAGTATGAACTATGAAGATGGATTTTTTTATTACCATTTTAGCAAGACTTGCCAATGGCAGACCTAATGGTGAGTGGTTACCATCACCATTGTCAGGTAGGGTACTGTCTCGTGTTTTTTTTATATTTCATTGTTCTATCTATTCTACCTACCTACCTATCTAGCCCATCGACGTAGTACATGTGTGTTGTATAATAAATATATGTAACATTCGAATGCTATTTGTAATTGGCATGCATTAATTGGCAATAAAAAGTATGCTTTTATTAGAGGTGGTTTTCTATAACAGAATATGTACAATGCTAGTTTACTAAAGTCCGAGATTTTGTGTAATAATATAACAATAGCTTTCCTTAACCGAGTTTCAAAGTGCTTATATTGAAACCATTCATAAAATTCTGATAAGGGAGATATCGTAGTCATATCCAAAACACTTGATAAATACAAGTGATTCACGACTCTACATAAAGTTGTAACAAAAAATAAAAGTTTCAATAACACGTTGTACTCTGAAAAATACAAATATGCCAATACTAAAAATAAGAAAGCGCCCTAAAAAAAACTTGGATGAACTGTGTGAAAGACGATATACGAGAGAAGAGTGTGACAGTTGGACAAAGATAAGAAAAAGAAGAAGATGACAAAAATTGAAAATAAAATAAAAACTTTTCTTTTAATTTCAATGCCATCAGAGATCCATTGAGAATTTCGTAGAATCAAGATGTCAAATCAACGTAACTTCAACAGGATCTCGAATTTGAAACTTTATTAATTAACCAGCGTTTTGTTTAATTACAGTACTTGTTTAATTTAGCGAGAGCCATTAGTTACTTATGAAACAGTTTGAATATGTTTTTTTATGAGATTTTATTTCACAAGCTTTAAGGTTCCTGCCCTGATAATTATGTTTCTACAAATGACAAACATTGACCGAAACTCACACAATAACTGTGTTTAAATGAATGTGTACTTAATTTATTAATTTTGTACTCATTATTTTTTCTAAAGATCTGCTATTAATATTTAGATCGCTTTTGTTAAATATTTTTTTATTTGTCTATTAACTGTAGAAGATATAAAACGTGAACAGAAAGTATATCATTTTGGGTGTTTAAAAATACTTGACCACGCAAACCGTCCAAATCTCTTAAGAAGTTTACCGAATACACACAAGAGACCCTCATAACTAACTTAAAATGCTACCAAGTGAAACTGGCAGTTTTGAAACTACGTGACGCAAACTACATTGTGTAATTCGATGCCAAGTGCAGTCGAAAAGGCAAATGTGCATATTTTCCTTTTCGTTTCTACTAGACGTCAGAGAGGTTCAGCATCGAAGCTTGAAAGAATTTAAAACGCATGTTTTTGAAAATCTAAAAAAAAACCTACACTAAAATCTAAAATTAAAGTTAAGTAGATTTCACAGGTAATGACATATTGTGATTTATGTACATATTTTGACAGAATTTTTAACTCCAAATACTCGTACAGTAGCAGATGTGAATTATTTAAAACTCATCTTATGTTACGAACAACGTCAAATACGTCACATTAAAACAAATCAACCAGTCTACATAATAATACTTTATGTCATAATCAATATTTCAAAATTAAATCTAAACTAAGTTTTGCCAAGTTCTGAGATTTCCTTATTACATATTTCAAAAAGACCACTAATGCTATTCATTCCTTATCAAAAAATACTTTTTCGTATTTTTGCAACATAACGCGTTCTTTTTTTTGTACAACTGAGAAATGATCTCGATCCGCGTGGAACAAGTTGTTTGATTGACGTGTGAAAGACACGAGAGATAATCGCGTTACTCTTCACGCCTTGATACATTGTTGATACCCCTTGTTGTGACGGTGAAAAAGAAATTATTATATTTCAACAGTATTTTATGAACAAAAACGTTGCAAAGCTTTTAATATTCACTGCGTTGTGTTCTTTCGTGGAGCGCATATTAACATCCGTCGTATGAATTGTTCGTTGCAATTTAATACGAAGAAAAAGAGAAATTTCATTTTCATGCCGAAAAATTTACTGTCGTTTTTAAATTAAAATTTAAACTGCTTAAACAATACATAGCGATAATCATAATCATTTACATCATGCCGTAATAAATCCGTAAAAGTTCAACCTAATCTCAACGTGACCCACGATAGATTACATGTTTACTTTTCTTTATTTTTAAGAACAAATTTTGTTTACTGGTGATAGGTACCATCACCCCGCTTATTCCTGCCGTAAAGATAATGGGATTCGGTTTGAAGGTTAGGCCGTTGTACTATAAAACTAAGATCATGTCTCAAGTTGGCTAGGGGGCGGCATTTTTATTATTGGTGTCCTGACTGGGGTGATTGGGCTCTGGTAACCACTTAACATACCAATGGGCCGTAGGATCGTCCAAACAACTAAACAAACGAAAAATAAAAATAAAACTATTATTGCTGAAGAACATGCCATACTACACAAAATGTTCCTCCAAATAAAACAACGACATTATCTTTATCAAAACCCTACATAGTCCTGAAGGAATCCGATACAAATTCAAGTACCAATCTCATCTCTCCGCGGACTCTGTTTGAACCAGAGCTTCCTGTTTTTGTTTTCCTTATTCTACAATGTTTCAGTTAAATTGTCGAAGGTTTCGCACTAAAACGAAGAAGTGCAAAGTGTAAATAATTTGTAAACTGTGACCTGGGAAAAGCATTAAACAACAACTTCACAGCGACCGAAGAATTTTACAATTTAAGTTGGCGCATTACACTGCTGTTACAACGAAAGTTTCGAAACATTTACAGCTATTTGTTAGTCTCAAACAAAGAGAAGCTTTATCGGTCGCGATCATTGTGGTACGATGTTAATTTCGATTGAATTATTATCGGTTTTAAATGTAATGTTTGGCATTTTCTATGTTTTGTTAGCTTTGTTTGTTCCTCTAACATTTAGAAAGTATGATAATTTCATCAGCCCCTTCTTTGATCTGAAACGGTTTTAACTAATAAAAGTAATCTAGAGCACCTTAGTTATGTTTTAAAATACACTAAGTTTATTACGGAATCTGACAAATCTGGAAATTTCACGACTCTTTATGCCCGTCACTGTACGATTGCTATCGATAATTAGAATCGGTTCAACTTTTTCATTTTCATCAATATTCAATTTCCCGTCAACTGTATTAACAAAATATATTTTGGGTATTGCCAGAGCACTAATATTTTCAGCACTATCATCAGGAAAAACAATGTAGATCACCGAAGGCTTATTGTAGCTCATTTTCATGGCAGGTGGAGAGGTTGCCACTAAAATTTTGTAATCTTCAAATGGTTGCGTTACGATAGGTAAATTAATATAATGAATTTTATCCTCGTCTGTGTATGTTTCGTTTTCGTTGCAAACCTTGCAAGATGTAATTTTTGCTATTTGGTTCGTACATCCTTTTCCAAGCTCGGGAGGTTGGGACAAAAATGCCTGAAGAATTTCTCGGCGAAATGTCGCTTCTGGTGTATAATCTTGTGGTATTTTAGCGAACAATGCTCCAAATGTTTTCGGTTGGATGTCTTCTTTTGCAGAAATAGGCTTGAACTTCACACTCAACCCATTATTGATAGGAAGTGTTTGTACATACGTTTCCAGTGAAGAAATCACAAATAAAAATATGACCTGGAAAATTATAAAAGCTATATTTTTCCCATTTTAGTAAATAATTTTAAATTAATTTCGCTAGCAATTAGTGTATGCGGTAGATATCAAGCATCTATTAATTTGTTTCATATATTGCTTGAAAGATACAATGGGTCCACTCCAAAATTGTTTAGCGTTTGCACCACAGCTATTCACGGGCCATTAATAAAGTTAGAAACACATATAAGAATACATCTCAAAATCATTTACTTGAATTGAATTGAAATGACCAAATTGAATTTTAACCTTAATCCAATCGGATTTGAAGCCAAACAAAATAAAAGACAGACCACTCACCAATTCCATTAGAAAATATCAGAGGAGTTCAACACGAGGGTTAGGCGACCTGAGTCGAATGATAATCAATGACGGTCGATAGTCAATTAGGTTCAGTCACGATACGATAAAGGTAGATGTTTGCTTTTAGTCACAAAACACTGAGGATGTTTCAGTTCGATTCAAAGAACTATTGAATAAACAATCAGTTGACACAATCAGTGTTTGAATATAACCGTTCAATTACGACAACGACCCTCTAAATACTCAACCAAATTCAGAAGAAGACAGATCTATAAAATTCGTTTAAAAATGTTTTGCAAATTTACTGTGTAAATCAAAATATTTGTTGAATAATTCCACGCAAATACGTAGCTTAGAAGAAAACACAAAGAAATATTTTCAATTCAATATAGCAATTTTCTTAGCGTTTGTGGCCTAGAATAACAACTTAATATGTATGATCTCTTCAGTGTCGTAATTCACCCGAGAATAGACAGTAAGGTTTTTTTAGTATGCAGTATATCTGATATCAGTCTGGTATGTGATATTTGATAGTCTGATCGCCAACTAGAATTTACTGTTCGACGGGCATATTACATGGGTACGTAACATTCTGGTAATAGTACCTATGACTAAACCTATATCTGAATCAGCTAAAACGCACATTTATCGTATTAGTGCAACGCAAAAGAGTTGCTGCCCAATGTTTTTGCTTATATTACGGGTTCATGAAATCTGAATTTAACAAACTGACGATTTTTGTGCTCAACTTAGCCCTTAGTGAATATTGCTTGCCGCTTATGTTAGGATTTTTTTTCTGTTTTTTGTTTCTGTTATTTAATTTGTTTAATTTAATTACTGGTTGTAATCAAACCTGTAATGTTTTTTTTATTGCTTAGGTGAATGGACGAGCTCACGGCCCACCTGATGTCAAATAGTTTCCAGATTCCATAGACATCTACAACGTAAATGCGGCCACCTACCTTGAGATATAAGTTCTAAGGTCACAGTATAGTTGTTGTAACTACTGTCCCACCCTTCAAACCGAAACGCGTTACTGCTTCACGGCAGAAATAGGCAAGGTTGTGGTTGGTACCTACCCGTGTGGACTCACAAGAGGTGCTGCCACTAGTAATATGACACATTAATCACTTTTCAGCATTAAAAACGGTTGTCTTCAAAAAGTACCAACTTTTTAAAACTTTTCAAGTTTAGAATTTATATCAAAACTTAAATTATCTACTATAATACACATTAGGTCACGTAAATTCGCAGAAATTTGTTATTAAGTTTAACCACGAAAAATGAACGATCCTTCTTCATTTTTTTCTGCTCTTCTTTTTGTAAACATAAATACATATTATATGTTTTATAATCTATTTGCATAACACAAAGGGCCTCGGTGGAACCTCGATAAATCGTTTTCCAATAATTATCCACAAGGGAGTCGTGAGTATGCAGATTGCAAGAGATGGTAAATTTACGAAATGCTAACACTAGTGAAAAAATTGCATGAGACTCATATGTGGGTTTCAATTATATTAGACTTTAATAATTAAAGACAGATTAATGAAATATAATATAAAGATTAATAAAAAAAGACTTTAAAAATTGAATTAAAGTTTAATTGAATTAAAGGTCTCGTAAAATAAACCGTAGGAGTGCAATAGTAAGTCGATCACTAACATTATAGTTTCTGTGTAAGCAGCCACACTACTAACCATTGACTTATTATTTTACAGCTAATTATACCAAAACAAAACATCTGCAACTACTTTAATTAGCACCCCGATAATTAAATGAGGGCAATGAATAAATTCTCAGTCTAATGAAATGTACAGCGTAATGAGATTCTTTGAAAGCTTAAAAGATGTTTTACTGGACTTTTTTAGACTGAATACCTTACAAATTAGACACTATTTTAGAATATGTACTTGAAACTTTTTATACATACACACACGCAGATAATTGTGCAAATTAACCTTCTTGAAATGAATAATACATTAATCTTTCGATTTTTTTCTCGTTTCTTTGATTTGTAAAATTTGACAGACATATTTACAGCTGACTACATATTAAACAGTTACCGGGTCGTAGCACTCGTAGCTACCATGGATCTCAGCGCCTACCTATACATACGAATTTAGATACATACGAGTTTATATATACAGTCAAACCTGGGTAAGTGAGAACTGGATAAGTGAGAAAACTCTATAAGTGAGAGTAATAGCCAGGACCCGTCATTTTAAGCTCCCAAAACCTCTATTAGCGAGAAACAGAAACCTCTGTAAGAGAGAGTTGTTTTTCCCTCATGGACCTCCGTAAGTGAGACTGCTACTTATCTGTACCTCTATAAGCGACAGTCGAGCTTTATTTATCTATATTATTAGGAGGAACAAATGACAAAATAAATTACAAATTTAACATCTGCTATTTTATGACTCTTTTTTAACTTTCGTGGAACTTCCTACCATTGTTTTTGTATTGTTTTCTCGTCAATATTAAACCTATTCTATTTCATGGAACTAAATGATGTTGTTATTTTATCGCATTCTTTTCAAATAGACACGTGTGCCTGTGTACCGTCCCGTTTGTCGGACTTACTCAATCGTTAATCAATTGCGAAAGAAAGTTCTGTTCTGCATCATGTCAAAACGGAAAATTAAAGTACTGTCATTAAGTGATAAACTTAAAATAGTTAATGCATCCGGAAAATCGCGAAATGAAATTCAGAGGGAGCATTAGCGAGAAACTCGGGTTAGTGAGAAACCTCTATAAGCGAGAATGAGATTGTGCTCCCTTGAACTCTCGCTTATCCAGGTTTGACTGTACATACTTATTTCTATAAATGAATATATCAATCAATGCATCCCATAATAAAATAATATAATCTATATATATATATCAAAATGAATTGCTGTTCGTTAGTCACGCTAAAAGTCGAGAGCAGCTGGACCGATTTGGCTAATTTTGGTCTTGAATTATTTGTGGAAGCCCAGAGGTTTAAAAGGCAGATAAATATGAAAATGCTCGGAATTAAATAAAAATAACAATTTTGTTTTTCCTTTGATGTGTCCCCCGTCGGACGGATTCCTTTTGTTTGTTTTAAGTTTATTTTATACAAAAGCTTAGTTCTTTTACTTATCGATTGAGGCACTACGAAGTCTGGCGGGTCAGCTAGTGTATTAATAATATAACCTTTTTTTACTTATTTGGTAACTGACATTAATCTAGTTAAAGGTGGTGGCTTGCGGTGTAGGCATTCCTAATTTTTTTCAGAACACTGTGGTGACTGGCCTAACATCAAATGCGGACATTTTCTTTTAAAAACTATCACGTCTTCTGATTATTGCGCTGACCTCCATTATATATCGCAAATAGGTAAATATTAAAAATTTCCAACAGAGACACTCCACAGGGGAATCGACGTGATGTTTTCGATTTCGGAACGAATAATAATCATAATTTCCCAGGGGGTCTAGACCAGACGTTTGACAGCTGCCTCTAAAGTTGTTGAATGAAACTCAAATTTGCACCCAACTTTTTATATAATAACAGTGAAAGTCCACTGAGGCTTTGTATTTTTTTTTTCTTCTATAAATAGGCAAACGAATTCACGGCGCATCTGGTATTAAATGGATACCGGTGCACCTAGATGTCACAATGTGAACACCGAAAAGCACGAACTCGCAGCAGAGATAAGAAGAATAGTAACTATATATGTACGAGTATATAAGAACAATAATATACATATATAGTAAAATAATAGCTAATAGGTTGGGGAAAAGTTTCTTCGCATTTGATGCCATTTTTGAAAAAGTGGAGCAAGATCGGCATACCAGTAGTTACGACGTAGCTGAAGAACCGGGAATTGACCACAAAACAGTTTTGGCGCATTAGAAAAAAACTGGGTACACAAAAAAGCTCGGTATTTGGGTACCTCACGAGCTCACTGAAAGAAACCTAATGAACCATGTACTCATTTGTGATTCTTTATTATGGCGTAATGAAACCGAAACATTTTTGAAGAAGTTAATAACTGGTGATGAAAAGTGGATCACGTACGACAAGAACGTGCGAAAAAGATCGTGGTCAAAGGCCAGTCAGGCTTGACAGACTGTGGCGAAACCCGGGTTAACTCACAACAAGGTGATGCTGTGGGTGTGGTGGGATTGGAAGGACATTATTCATTATGAGCTGTTTCCACCCGGCAGGACCATCGGTTCTGAACTCTCTGCGAACAACTGATGAGATTAAGGCAAGAAGTTGAGAGAAAGCGGCCGGAATTAATCAACAGAAGGGGTGTGGTTTTTCATCATGATAACACTAGACCTCACACATCTTTAGCAACTCAACAAAAATTAAGAGAGCTTGGCTGGAAGGTGTTAATACATCCACTGTATAGTCCTGTCTTTGCACCTTCAGATTTCCACCTGTTTCGGTCTCTTCAGAATTCTTTAGGCAGTGTCAGGTTAACATCACAAGAGGACTGCCAAAACCAATTGTCGCGGTATTTTGATCAGAAGCCCCAAAATTTCTATAGCAATGGGATCATGTCCCTACCTACAAGATGGCAAAAAGTTATTAAACAACATGGTACTTTAGTTAAATGTCAATAAAGTATTTTAAAAAATGTTGTGAATTTTCTTAAAAAATCCGAAGAAACTTTTTCCCCAACCTATTAGTATAGCCAAATAGATTTTATTACAAGTTCATACTATGACGCGAAAAGACTTTTTTTCCCAACTTAACATTCATTTTTACAAGAATAGTCCCAACACAGATTTATCCAAAATTTACTAATTTTTAATAATAAATAAAAAAAGATTGTGAACCATTCCCAGTAGACGGCTACGATGTTTTGAACGTAGATAATGCTGAAGTTTTAGAAGATATCTTGTTAGTTTCGCAAAGGTTCAAGACGTTCTCTCAGATTGGTTGGTGTAAATGAATGAATCTTAGGATTAAAACTTAAGAGCAGACGATGAAACTGCTTCATATTTTTTACTTAAAAATTTGTCACTAAA